GTGGGTAAGGATCCTGGAATCTGCTGGAGTGAGAGATATACCAAAAATGCACTATATGACCAAGATGAAGCATCTTCTGTGATATACACTGCTCTTCAACTGTCATGGAACCACCCCAATTCTCGGAAAATGATATTTCTAATCAAAATAGGTCGAAAGTCACTTCAGATTTGGATTCAGAACGCCCAATCCATTGACTATTTATATTTTTCTTGGAAAATTTTCAGTTCTAAAAAATTAAATTGTACCGCACTTTCCACGGAAGGACCCCCTTTTTCACGTAATCGACTTTATCTTTGGACTTTCCCTTCCTCCTGCAAATTTCAGAACCCTACTTCAATAATTACGTGAAATACGGGGGTACTTCCATGAGACGTGAGACAAAATTAAATTTTTATGAACTGAAAATTTTCTAGGAAAAAACAATGAATAGTTAGTGAATTGGGCGTCCTGATTTCGAATCCAAAGTGATGGTCAACCTATTTTGACTTCTAATATCATTTTCCGGAGATTGGGGTGGTTCCATGGCTGTTGGCGAGCAGTGTATATCATAGAGTGCATATTTCTCGCTCCAGCAAAATTCAGGATCCTTATCCAACGATTAGGTGAGATACAGGGGTGTTTCCATTAGAAGTGGGTCACACTGTATAATAAATAGGTATTCTTTGGAAATTATGCATGGGTTTTGATACTTCTCTCCCCATTATTTGTGAAAAAATTATAAAGATAGACGTGTTGGGATGTTGATTGAAATCGAATTTTTAGACATGTTCAGTATTTCTCATTTCTTGTGATACAGGGAAATTCAAGATTTAATGTGAATATTTCATGGACGTATTTTCGGGATAACTTTCACTTCATATGAACATGTGTCCTGAAATGCACCTCCTCCGAGCAACAGCTACTGTAAGTTTCGGGAAAAAAAAAAATGTGAAAACATGAAATTTGATGATAATAACGGATCCAGTGCAAGTATTCCAGTACTGCACGCCTCTGAAATAGCGGTTCAAATGCGTTCCGGCATACGATCACCTCCGTATGCAAGGCTTCAACCCATTGTGTTCGCAAACGGTTAGTTGTTTCAAAAATATCCAACAGACCCAATTCCTACTTTCTTTATGACCCAAAAGACCATAATATTCAAAGTCAGAATTTAATTTCAACATGAAATTTGGGCAAAGTGTAAACATCCTTCCAACTCCCCCAAAACTGGGTTCATCTCATTTTTGAAGCAAGAAGGAAATTGAGTGTCTAAGAAAACAGCGGCCTGCTGATTTTCAGGCAGATTCAATCCGTTATTCTAGTCACAATTTGGGATAATATTTTCTTTTTCCTAACTTACAGTTCATAGAGGGTGCATTTCAGGTCATATGTTTATAGAAAAAGTCTTATTTTGGTCCCAACAATATGTTTCAGAAATATTGACCATGAATTTTGAATCACACTGTATATTGTGTATATATTTATGAACAGAGGGAAGCTATACAGGGTGGCCCATTAGTAATGGATAAAAAGAAGTGGAGTCAAGTTCGGAAAAAATATTGAAGAAGCATTTCCTTTTTTTGGACCTTTGGACCTGCCTTTCCCCCCAATAAAAATCCCTGCAATTGCCTTGTGGGAAATGACAATTATTCCGTGTTCGTTGAACGATATATTGATTTCTACTACTACAACACAAAATTCCTCCTGTTCCACTGCGTTCGAAACATTTGGGGTACTTTGGATTGGATCAATTACAGTTCCGTAACTGATATCTCAATGTCTTCATTGTGTTATTATTCCACAAAATCTCACCTCTCATGAAATGTCAAATTTCAAGCAATGACAGCTCTGTTCAATAGATGAGAATCACGTAGGAGAAAATTAGATGACTACAAGCCAAAGAAATCAAAAATCGCTGTTATCTGTTACAATCGTAGAAAAAGTAAAGTGTATAACTCGCACAGAATGCTGATTTCCAACCCGTATAATTTGCAGCATGAGCCGGAGGTGAACTTCATTCTCGTGGGAAATGGCCGGAAATGGCTATCATGCGAATATACTATTTCCGATTACAACTCGGTCTTCAGAAACTACTCGAACAAATATTAAAATCATTGGTCCCGATTTTATCAATCGGAATGTTTTCTTATTCTTGCCAAACATGTTTTCGTGGAAAAGAAAAAATGATTGATAAAATTTGATGGACTTGTGAGTTGTGGTAGCACTTTCGATAATTTGCGAGATAATTCCTATATTTTATCGACTCCGTGCTCGAAATCTATTATTATTCATAACTCTGCAACTTTAATACAATTGATTTTGGGTAGATTCACTTTTCTCTTCGAGTTCTGCAAGTTGGTAAAATGAATGACTCAACTTTGGAAACATTCTGTATAGTTGTTAGAATCTCGTACCATAGTACAGAAACCATACAATTTTTAGGTATAACCCTAGAACAAAAATTGACCTGGGAAGCATATACAGTAGATACACTATGCTCTAAGTTAGGCACAACTTGCTACATAATAAGAAACTTGAGAGAAACCATATCTTTTGACATTTAGACAATTCTCTACGTTGTGTTGGTTCAATCGACCCTGCAATTATGATTGATTTTCTGGGGTTCCAGTGACTTCATTCAAGCATTTCGTTCACAAAAAATAGTATTACGGACTATTTACAAAGCTACCCCACATCCTACATGTAAACCACTATCTGAACAATTTCCAAACCTATATAACACTGCCCTGTCTGTATATTTTCCAGTATTGTATGTCAAAGAACACGAAACAGAATTTCAAAAAAATCGTGACGTGCATCCATATCTCACGAGGAATAGTGAAGCCTCCAGTGAAGCTATCCACCAACACTACTCTAGAATTGGGGTTTGCCAAAATCCGCCGGAATATGTAGACATCAAGTGTTTTAATGAAATAAAAAGTTTTGTTGATACAAGTCGCACGATAACTATTTTCAAGTAGATCTTACATACTTTCTCATGTATTAAACAGTTTTATGGGAATGATGAATTCCTCAATTCCTAATTTGAGAAAAAATTCCAAGACATTTAAAAAAATAAAGCTGTTTTTCTTACTATATATTTACACAGTACATAATGGATATTATCAAGTATGAAGTTCATTCTTCGACTATCCTAATGTATTTTATGAAAAAAATTCAAGATTATTGCAAATTTATGATGCCTAATCAATTTATATAGTTATTCCATTCATGAGTTTTTAGATATTGAGTATTCGACTTTCATTATATGTATTTTATGCTTTCAATTGTATACTTCTCAATATTTTTGTTTTGCTAGTCCATAAGTTTTACATGTATATATAATTCTGTATGTGTATGTAAAATCCCAGTGATGAATGAATTTCATTCTATCCTATTCTATTTTCTATTGATAAACGAAACTGCATGAGAATATGTGAAATAAACTTACTAATTTCTAAAGTTGAAATGACTGGGAAAATTCACTCGTTTTATTCCAACTGATTGGCAGTTAATTATAAGTGCCTCTTCTCGCATGTTTTCACGCAAATTTTCATGAAACCAAGCGACACTTTTACCATTTCACCTCTTTTTTATTCATTACCACTACGAAAAAATCCACAATGGCATTTCGGCAGGAACGCACCATTTATTCTCCAGCGACAAGGCCCAAAATCCTCACGGCGTTCAGGAAATCGCTATCGAAAATCCGTTTCACGCCAGCAAAGAAAAAAAAGTCGAGCATAGTTTCACAAATTCTCATAAATCTTATTTCAAAACTTTAATAAATTTTTTTCATTCACCTCGTTCAATAATTTTGACAATTGCACGGAAAAAAGTGTGTATTTATACACCAAGGTAGAAAAGAATATCATTATAACCTATCAGGGACCAAGATTATATGTCGAGGCTTCAGCTGTTTACTCACAGCAATCAACCCTCCTACTTCATCAGATACATAAGGTATGTTATCATGTATAAGAACTGAAGGATATTTAATCATTACAAAATGCAATTGGCCCTCAAAAGAACGAAATCTATAAATGAAAGATAATTTTAAAAACCATGGGTTTTTTCATTCTTTCAGAAAGATGGTGCACTTGTTACGAACAGATTTATTTTTCATCAACTTGTGTGATCGATCTGATGGAACGAATGATCCGTAGGCGCTCATAAAATCTATTGAAAATAAATCAAATGTATCATGAGCAGATCATCAATAACTGGAATGAATGTATTGTTTTTTGAAAGATATGATTTAACGAATCTGAGGAAAATTTTCGGTTGTCCCACTTCAATTGCGTGGCCCCATAGAATTTATTCAATCCACTATTATGATCTGATCGTAATAATCATATATATCTATATCAGGCGCTCATAAAATCAACTGAGAGTTAATCAAATTTATCATGATCAGATCATTATACACTGGAATGAATTCATTCTCTTTTTTTTCGTGCAATTCACTTCGACAGCAAAACCACTGTATTCTTTACACTCATACATATTTCTTGAATACTGTCGGTAGGTTCATCAAGGAGGTGGTACATTCATTATTACAGATTTTTTGCCCTGTGAAATAGTTATCCACCAGTTCTTTGTTTTTCAAATTCATGATTCTGAAGACGATGAAATGAGCTGCTCAATTCAGGAAACCGAATTGAAAATTGAAATTGCTTAGACTTTTTCGAGGGTTTTTTGAAAGATATAATTTTATGAATCTTAGTGAAATTTTGTTTTGTCCCACTTTAATTGCGTGGCCCTATAGAATTTATTCAATCGACTATTATGATCTGATCGTAGTGATAATCTATATTAGGCGCTCATCAAATCAATTGACAGTTCATCAAATTTATCATGATCAGATCATTAATCACTTAAATAAATTCATTTCCTTCTTTTTCTTGCATTTTTTTCCGACAGCAAAACCACTGTATTGCTTTAATTCATTGATCATTCTTTCCTGTTTCCTGTTTTTTCATTCTAAAACGTATGAAATTGTTTTGTTTCATAAGTACCTCTTTTCGCATGTTTTCGGGCGGATTCACCTAAAGTCAAACGACACTTTTCAAAGTTCCTATTCCACCAAAATTTTTCGACATAATAGTGTCAACAAGCCACAAGAAAATTCAGCGGCATTCCACTAATTTCAGCACGCGCCGCTCACTCTTCAGCGATAACGTCCGTCATTCTTCGGCGTTTTCAGGAGATCGCGATCGAAAATCCGTTTCAGCCGACGAGGAAGTGCTGTCGATGCGGGCTGTGGAAACAGACTGCCATCCTCATGGCTGGACGCCTTCTTGGCGATGTTGTCACGCCTCCGCGGTGGCTTTTTCCCGAAAAAAACGAGAAATGTCTTGACCTAACCTAACCCAAAAAACATGTACTTGCAAAGAATGGCCGCACCATCTAGCTTCTATAATGCGAAATTGTTATTCACTTTATAAGTGCGGGAAGTAGTACGTTTTACATTTGCACGAACGACGCGGAACTGAGTTCGGGAAAGTCGTCAAGGGCGGCAAATACATTTTTCGCAAGAGTAAGGTACAAAGTTTTTTCTACGAGGGTTTTTGTCCATATGACTTATGGAAAAGGAGATTTTAAATAATCAATAATATTTCCCGAACATTCCAGAATCTTTTGTCACGTTATTTGTCACCGCGGCATATACAGAGGTGTGCACAAAAAACGGCTAGAGCTGTAATCATTCGAGATCGAAATTTGAAATTTGGTGGGTAGCAACTATACCATATTGTTCATTTATTAACGAAAAAAAAATGATTTCATCACTTCTAACCGGAAGTGACCCGAACTTTTGGTTTTCGAATGGCACTCCCTGTATATTTTTCCATTATTGGATTCAGGATATCATTTTACATACACCAGTAGTTTTTCCGGATCAAAATGTCAAGAGGAATTTTTTTGATTCCTTTATATCTTTGAACATTGCATATTGATTGGTAATAGTAATCAAGATCTAGGTAGCCTTGTGAGTCAATGTCAATGTGACATTAACATCCAATAATGAGTTTCAATACGGGTGATGATATTTTCTATCTTATAAACATGAATAATAATGAGTGAACCGATAAATTACAAGTTTATTTTGAATGCTTGGAAAATTCGTACGATGTTGCTCCGTGCTGCTCGTGTTTATAGAAACAGATATCCGGATATAAAATTTGGTAGTTTCAAAGAACTAAAGAAACAACAGCGAGAGTTTGATGCAGATTTGGAACTGAATGTTTTACTCAGTGTACAAGGAACGCTCAGGACATGTACAATTAAGATTGCAAATGATTTTGGTACGTCACGAAGAACAGCTCTTTCTATTTTGAAAAAACATAAGTACACGCCATACGTTCCCTGCAAAATTCACGCCTTGGAGCACGATAATGACAGAGAATGTAGGACACATTTCTGCAATATTTTTTTGAATAGGTTTGATCAAGATCCTGCATTTTATAGAAAAATAATGTGGTCAGATGAATGCACATTCGGGCGAAATAGCATCTTCAATAGACGAAATCACAGATGTTGGTCACAAGAAAATCCCCATTGTAATGTAGAAACCAACTACCAAAGAAGATTTAGCTTGAATGTATGGTGCGGAATTCTTGATGATATGTTGGTAGGCCCGTTTTTCATCGACGGTTCTTTAGACCAGTATAAGTTTTTCGAATTGCTTACTGGTTATATTGAAAATTTTCTGGACCAACTTCCCCTCGCCAATCGTTATGAAGTCATTTTTTAACAAGATGGAGCACCGCCACACAATACGCGTTTGAATGTGACTTATTTGAATACACACTTTGGAGAAAGATAGATAGGAATAAATGGACCGATACGGTGGCCAGCTCGCAGTAAAGATTTGACAGTCATGGATTTCTTCCTTTGGGGTTACTTGAAGGATCAAGTTTATATATTTCAGTCAGAGAATATAGAAATCCTTAGGCATCGAATATTAGAGGCTCGCCGCAATATACCCTAAGCATTTTTACACAACGGTACTTGTAGTGTAGCTAGAAGGTGTCAGCAATGCATTGCACAAAATGGGGGTCAATTTGTGCATTCGTTGTAATTAATTTTTTATTGCCCCTTTTCTCTGCTACTGAAAATAATAAAGATTGATGTGGAGTTCATTCTGTTGTTCTTTCTGTTTCACACAAAATGATCCGGAAAAACCACTGTTGTATGTAGAATGATACCCTTAATCTAAAAATGGAAAAATATACAGGGGGTTCCATTTGAAAATCAAAAGTTGGGGGTATAGTTGCTACCCACCAAATTTCAAATTTCGATCTCGAATGATTCAGAAGTTACAGCTCTAGCCGTTTTTTGTGCACACCTCTGTATATTGAGTGTTCGGAAATATGCTGGTGCAAGTAGCAATCATTGGGAAGTTGAAGAACAATCTGGGATGCGTGTTACAGGATGATCGTTGTCCTCCTGCCTTCCTGCTGATGTTTCTAGAACCCCTCTAAGGGGAATATCATTACAATATTTCATATTGATGCTGAGAAATTACACATATGACAGATTAGTTACTTGGATCATTTAGTTGGTCCTGAATATCCTTATTTTCAACAATACAAGAATTGTGCGGGAGAGTAACTTTCCAGCACTAGTGCGGTAGACTAACTTCTCCGCATGATATTTTCATGCACTGAAAAATGATGAAATGTATTTTTGTTTCATCGATATAAAAGGAAACTAATTTGAAGAACATTTAAATAACAATAACTAAAACATTAACGATGGTAAATATTGAAATTGGAGGTGCAATTTGTGTTTGTTGCATGATGTAATATAGCAGATGCCGCAACATTTTGAAGAACGTCGTTTCTTATTTGAATTTGATTGGATATTGTTTGGCCCACTACAGAGATGCCTTGATCAGTTTGTAGCTGAAAATTATTAGTGTAGTGAATGGAGGAAGGTAGATTGGTCTAAAATGCTCATTTTTTCTGTGATAAAATTTTGGCATTTCATCTCTGTTGGCAGGTTATAAAATGTCACTTTTCATAAATTACTTTTTTCCCGGATATATATCACATATATATATACAGGGTGACCCTAGACCAGTGGGACAGTTGAATATCTCCTGAACCAAGAGGAATTTTCAAAATATTATGATTTCACATCATATCGAATTAGGAGTGCTAACTTCAGGAATGACTATATTTTATACGAGGGACACAAGAAAGGCTCACAAAATCGAACATCGATTTTTTCAAATGGAACACCCTGTATTTCATTGCATTTTCATATTTTCCTTGATGAGCTGAATTCAACGACCTAGCACACTTGGGGTCTAGCGGAAATGATTTCCGAGATATAGGGTGTGGAAAATCGAGATTTTTCATTTTTGGGGAATTTTTTGTGTCAAAACTATTCATTATTGGTCAAAACGGATTACATGTCCAGATCTTAACTTTTGATTTACTATTTACTCGTATTTAATTGAAACAAATACAGGGTGGTGTAGAATTCTGACTGAAACTGAGGATTCTACACCACCCTGTATTTGTTTCAATTAAATACGAGTAAATAGTAAATCAAAAGTTAAGAACTGGACATGTAATCCGTTTTGACCAATAATGAATAGTTTTGACACAAAAAATTCCCAGAAATGAAAAATCTCGATTTTCCACACCCTATATCTCGGAAATTATTCCCGCTAGAGCCCAAGTGTGCTAGGTCGTTGAACTCAGCTCATCAAGGAGAATATGAAAATGCAATGAAATACAGGGTGTTTCATTTGAAAAAATTGATGTTCGATTTTGTGAGCCTTTCTTGCGCCTCTCGTATAAAATATAGTCATTCCTGAAGTTAGCACTCATAATGCGATATGATGTGGAATCATAATATTTTGAAAATTCCTATTGGTTCAGGAGATATTCAACTGTCCCACTGGTCTAGGGACACCCTGTATGTGTTTATGACTTTTGTTGTGCTATAGTTCCGAAAAATAAGTCAATAATACCGTCTCCGAAAAAGAACTGCAAGTCCTTTTATCTTCCATTCGACTTCGCGGTTACGTATATTACTAAACAACCACTAAATTCGCAATTTCTTGAAATGAAATCACAGAAATAGACTGACAGAAGTGACATCAGATATTTGATAACTTCAATAGAATGATAAAGATGCCTACAACGCAGGTGTCCCTACTGTTGAAAACTTTAAATTTCACGTCGATAATTTTCAGATTTCCAAATAATGTAATGTCTTCTTGATATTGATTCGTCCTTTCTTCTGTCACAGAAAGAAATAGTGTTTTATTCACGAGAAAAATATTAGATTTTAGCTCACGGTTTAATGTCTCCCTCCGCTACGCGTCGGGAGACAATACAACCTGGAGCTAAAGTCTACTACTTTTAAGTAACTTTTCATCACTAGTGCACTCGTAGTAGAAGAATATATCAACTCGTTTTCTCGACATCCCGATGTGTTTTATGATCATGATTTCACAGGGGTGGTAAGTTATTGAAGTGGACACAATATACAGGGTGATCAACTAAGAACAGCTGTCGGCCATATCTCAGCAAACGAATAATGAAACAACATTGAAAAAGAAAAGTGACCCTAAAAATGGCTGGAAAATATTTTTAGATATTTAAACTAACCGCTAGGTGGCGAAATGCCAATGCGTAAAGGGAAAATTGAAATTTTCTCTGTATTCAGTGTACTGAAAATATATGCAGTGAAACGCCAAATTATGTTTTTCATGGAAGACGGTAACCCTGGTTATATTCAACAGGATTCAACAACCAAGAGAGAAATAATTTATGTGATCATTCAAACGATTGAGATACGATCTAAGACCATTAACATGGCACCTCGCATGGCACGCATTGACATGTCCATTCACAACTACAAATTAGAGCCTGTATACAACTCTGGAAATCACCCTGTATTGATAGGGGGAACAGTCTCAAGTAGTTTCAATTTTCTATAAGTTACATAACCGATTAAATGTTTTTGTGGAGATTTTTAGAAATGAAACACACTGTTTTTCTACTCACATAACTAAAATGGCATTTAGCGTACGGATATGTACCACGCTAAATGATCGATTAACCATGGATTGACGATCTGAGATTTATTCAAAATTTTAAACACGTTACCATGGCAACACAGTTCATTAAACACAGCCTCAGTAATTCGAGACATGTCTGGTCTGTCAATTGTATTAACTGTTAACTGGTATTCTCAAACTTTGTATCAGAATTATTCAAACAATATTCGTTTGTATCA